TAGTTTCATGAACATAAGACCTTGGAGACCGGGCCTTTAACACAATGGACCTGTGGAGGACAGTCAACATCCACACCACAGCAGGGTCTGAGCAACCGCGTCTGTTAATATTTATCTACCATTGCTGCAGATGCTGCGGACACAGCGGAGAGCAAAGCTAACACAAACTACTGCCCTCACGGAGGTTGTGTTTTCACGAGGCACAGGTAATAAAGAAACGAGTAAATACACAGTGTGATGGATGGTGACACGTGACATGCACAAGTGAAGCAAGGAAGGGTTTAGGGAATGTGAGGATGGCAGCAGAGGGCAGGGATGTGAGAGCTCAGCAGAGACTGAGGGAGGTGGGCATAAAGGGCAGGCAGCAGGTATGGCGCTTGTAAAGGCCCAGTGAACTTGGCATGGTAGAGGAATAAGCAGGGAGGGCACTGGGGCTGGTGAGGAGGGAGGGGGGTAAAAGTGGAAGGAAGCAAAAGGTCAGATAGGAGAGAAGGGTGAAATCTTAGGGCCTGTGCACTTTAGTTCTCAATCTCAGCCAAGGAAACCCTGAGGGGTTCTGAGCAGGGCAACAACATGATCTGGTTTAGATTTTAAGAGGATCATTTTGGCTGCTGTGTTAAGCCTGGGCTGTGACAAAGGGCAATGGTAAAAGCACAGAATCCTGTTAGCAGAGAATCCTGGGATAATCCAGGTAAGAGATGATGGTGGCTGGCACTGGAGTGAGTGAGGAAGTGGTAACAAAATCTGAATGTATTTTGGAGGTATGGAAGATAGGATTTCCTAGTAGACTGGAAATCAACTGAAGATTTTTGGCCTGTGAAGCTGAAAGAGTGTGCTGACATTTACTGAGATGGGGAAGATTTGGAGAAGTGGCGCGTTCTGTTATGGGTATGCTTGTTTCAAGACACTTCTTAGACTTCTTCAAGGAATGGAGTAGGCAGTTAAGGACACAGGTCTGGAGTTCAAGGCAGCAGTCTGTGCTGGTGACACATAGTTGGATGTTAATAGAAGATGGACAGGTGATCTTTAAGGCCATCAGACTGAACATGGTCGCTAGGAGAAGAGAGCACATAGAGAAGAGGTCCAATATCCCTGGGTTCTCCAAAGTTTTGAGGGTAAGAATATGAGAGAGAACCCAGTAAAGGATCCCAAGAAGGAAATTAAGTGAAGTTAGGACAGAGCTAAGAAAGAGCAGTGTCCCAGAAGCCAGGGACAATGGTGGTTCAAAGGATGACCGGCTCCCACTGCAGCCAGATCATGTAAAGTGGCAGGGGAAAACCGACTATTGGTTCAGCAAGGTGGAGATTATTGGCGGTCTTGACAAGAGATATTTGGTGTAATAGTGGGAGAGAAGGCCTGATTGGAGTGGATTCAAGAGAGAATGGGAGAACAAGAATTGGAGACATAGGAACTGGAGATGTTTTGCTGAAATACAAAAGGTGACAACCTAAAGTCATAAGAAATAGAAGAGCTATTCCTTTAGCTGTAGGAAATATTGACATTTTTTATTGATGATTCCAACCAAACTGGAGTGCACTTATTCACCTTGACCTTCTACAGACTTCATTATTTCAAAAAGCTGCCCAGACACTACCCCAGTGAGAAAGGATGAATGGTTGGATAAGCCCTTTCTTTAAGATCCAAGGAGAACCATTCTCATTTTATTCATGACCCGCAATATACAAGACACGTTCATTGGTCTTGTATGGAAATGTGGAGTTATCGGTAGGCTGTCCACAACTGCAAAATCATCTCAGTGTCATCATCTTTAATGACAACATAACTGCCTAATCCACAAGGCAGGGGGCATGGGGGTCTTGGATTCGAGGTGCTCTATCCCATCTTCATTTTCTTGATTACATAATTCCAAGGAACATTACCTCTTCCTGATATCACAATACAAGGATATTTCAAAAAGTTCAAGGCAAATGGAATTAAAAGATTATTTTGGTTCAAAAAGATCTGAAACCCATGCATTCAAAAATTTATGAAATGCAGATTATGGAAAAACTTTAGAAAGCATTTGCATCAAAACTAACTTGTCATTTAATCTCATTTTTTCCATTAACTCTTCAAAGTACCCTTTTAATTCCATCATTATTTAATGCAGATGGAGGCAAAGTACCTTCCTCAGAAAGTTTCTCTGGTGGAACCCTTGGTACTGTATCCAGCTGAATTCCCCTTTTAGTGTCCTGAAGCACGAGTGACTCAACCATATGTATCTTTAATTAAGAATCGCTGGATTAGAGGATTTACTGTAACTGTTTCTCTTGATAACAGTATTTCAGGATCTTTGCAGCAGATTGCATTATTTATCCATAATTATTTGACAATGTTTTTCTGTGGGTACTTGTAGACTCGTCCCTTAGCATCCATGAGGGATTGGCTCCTGGATCTCCCAGAGATACCCAAATTGTCAGATGCTCAAATTTCTAATGGAAATTGGCACAGTATTCTCATATAACTGGTGCAATTCTCCTGTAGGCTGGAATCATTCTTGGATCCCTCATGACACCTTGTACAATGTAAATGCCTATTATGCTGTATTGGTTAGGGAATAATGGTAAGAAAATATCTGTAAAAGTACAGATGCATTTTCCCCAACATTTTGATCCATGGTTGGTTGAATCTATAGATGCAGAATCTGTAGATGTGGGGAGCCAATCACACTTCTTTATTATTTTATCTCCAAGGTCAGACATATGAATGGTTTAAGCTGTTGGAATATGAGCAATTACGTTGCAAGTTGTATTTAGGCATAAACTTTACATTGCTGGTGTGAGCTAGTTCTGTGCCTGCGTTGTGAGTATCTGTCATCTGCCAGGAGCATGATACAGCCTGCAAGGAGCTGCTGAGTCCACCTGAGCTCTGAAATTGCAAGACACATAGAACTCGGTCAAGGCCAGACCCCAGCTGACTCTATTAGAGCTGTAGCTGACCAACACCCTCATGTACTGCAAGCCAGGTAAAAACGTTTGGCTTCAAGGCAGGAAGAGTTTGAGATTGTCTGTTCCTGCAGCAAAAGCTGACTGACAGACTTCTTCATTAGACTGTCAGATTCCTCAAGTGAGAGAGCCATGTTCACTGCTTACGATATGCCCTAAAACTCAACACAATGCTGTGAAGTTGTGAGCCTGGATTTAACGTAAAGAGGTAGGAGTCATTATTTCCATTGTAGTACTGAAGTCTGGGATTAATTCATAGTTCCTATCATTGACATATGGGCTATACTATCAGAAGCTTCTTAAGGTCATGTCTAACACCACTCTCACTTTCCCTTCTCTCACATGGATTTTGTTCTATTTAGTTATGACTGATTAATCAAGAAAACCCAATAATCATAGGCATCACAAAAGGGGAATCTGGTCTTGGGTATCAAATATACCATTGCATTTCTAAGTACCCCCGAATGATTAAGGCAAGATAGAGCAAGTCTGCTTTAATTGCACTTGTGTGGCTTAGCTCTATGCTCGTTTTTCACTTGAGATAAGCCATAGGCTTTGCTCAGGGAGTTCCACTGCAAAGAAAAATGCTTAACTCTGGCTTTCATTTGTTCAGTAAATTCTCCTCCCTTGTTTAGAGACTAACCTATGTATTGTGCAGGTATCAGAGACAATTTAAGGTACAAGTCTGGGCTTCAAGAGGCTTATATTATAATCAAAGAGGCATAAGGATATATGTGTAAAAATCCATGACAATCAAGAGTTTCATACCACTTTACTCTTTAAACGAGGTAGTGTTGTCTTGCGGGAGACAGCACTGGTGTAGAAGTTTAAGAGGCCTGGTTCCAGACTCAGCTGTGCTGCTAGCTACTGAAAGTCATGGGAAGTTCTTTCTTGCTAACCCATGCATGTATAAAAAGGAATGAACAGATTGACATAAGGCCCATGACACTGCTATCACTTCATGAATCAAAGAGATATCACCAAGCAGCATAAACATAATCATGCCCTCAATGCATGGTACGGATTGTAAAGCCTATGTAGCCGAGAACTCTCGGCTTTCCTGTCCCTACCCCATCTCCAAGCTAGCCTAGTTCCTGTGCAGTTTTCAGTCTCCTATCTTGAGCCATGAGTCAGCCCAGAAACACGGCTGAATCTACCGGAGGGTACAAAATCTCAGGAAGCGAGTCCAGAATGATTCTCTGACAGCCCTAGTTGAACAAGGAAGAGGAGGAGGAGCTCACCAAAAGCTCGCTAGCAACTTGGGCTGGGGTCTGCTGGGTAGGTGCAGGGCACCCAGCGTTGCAGTGCTAGTGTTGGGGCATGTCCACAGTGGAGGGGCGACACAACTTGGGCTGGGGTCTGCTGGGTAGGTGCAGGGTGCCCAGCACTGCAATACCAGTGTCGGGGCATGTCCACAGTGGACCTCGCTCCTGGAGGGGCGACACAATGCTGGCAGTCTCTGTGGCTGAACCTGATAGGCTCTTCAAAGCCCTTCACTCTGAGAGCCGAACACTCTTCACTCCTCAGGAAAAGCCAGCTCTCACCATGGCAGGTGGCACATCCCCAGATAGGGCTCCCGAGGCCAGAGGTGAAGGGAGGAAAGGGCCGGCACCTTCAGAACATCCACTGATGCCTCCCTCATAGTCCCTGGTGAGATACAGACCATGGAGGTCACCCCATTGGCTGCAACGCCCAGTGACCCATGGGGCCTCTCTGGCTGTGCTCACCTGGCGCCTCTGCAGCAAGTCTTTCAGTTCCCAGCCAGGGCCTCTTGGGGATGGCTCAGACAGCCATGGGGTCATTAGACTGTCATGAGCTGGCTGGGTGATCCTTTTGAACTTTTCCTAGGTGAGTGCAAGAGCTGAGACCACTGTGCGTTTAACATACTTACATCGGAGCACCATTCTTGAAATAAAAAAAAAAAACTTGTGTTTTTAAAAACCTTCCTTTTATATAATAGGAGTGTCTTCTACAAAGGACTCTGCCGTTCCTGAAGGAAAGCAGAAGGCGGTGGGTGACAAGACAGCCCTGCAGAGGGCAATCAGCTTTACTTACTCGGGACTCCAGACACCAGCCGCAGGGGGCGCAGCACGCGGAAAGCCCTCAGCGCCTTCACGTCGAATCCAGCCCCTTTCCCTCCTAGGGCATTGGCCCCGTCTGCTTTGGTTGCTTGTTCTAAAATTGCACTAAAAAGCCTAGAAGAGAAGAAAGAGAGAAGGAGCTGTCAGGACAGTGCTTTGTTGCCCAGCTGGGCTCCCAGTGTCTGAGCACGACCTGGAATACAGGAGCAGGCCCCACAAGTCTGTGTTCACGGCACTCCGTGATTGGCCGCAGGCTACCTGCCGTTCATCCACGGCATGGTGCCAGGCGAGAAGGCACATCTGGCTTTGTCGGACCTGGGCAGGTCCTGACCCAAGGGCAAAACAGGCAAGCGTCCTCTGAGCCTCTCCACACTATCCTAGGTCCCACTCACGTGGGTGCCAGGATCCACACACTCTCTCTGCTCATCCCTTTCTTTCTTTCTTTCTTTCTTTCTTTCTTTCTTTCTTTCTTTCTTTCTTTCTTTCTTTTTATTTTTTAAATATTTTATTTGAGAGGTAGAGTCACAGACAGTGAGAGGGAGAGTCAGAGAGAAATGTCTTCCTTCCATTGGTTCACTCCCCAAATGGCTGCAACAGCCAGAGCTGTGCCGATCCAAAGCCAAGGAGCCAGGCGCTTCTTCCCTGACTCCTGCATGGGTGCAGAAGCCCAAGGACTTGGGCAATCTTCTACCGCTTTCCCAGGCAATAGCAGAGAGCTAGATTGGAAGCAGAGCAGCTGGGACTAGAACCGGCGCCCATATGGGATGCCAGCACGGCAGGCGGAGGAGACAGAGACAGAGAACTAGCTTAAGACAGAGCTGGTGAGCTTGCTTGTGGGGCTAGAGCTGAGGTGAGAGAGTAAGCGAAATCAAGCAGGATTCCAAAAGCCCAGGCTTGAGTGACTGGGAGGGAAAGTTCTGGAACAGAAAGCAAGAGTCTGCTGTGGGCTCTTGGATGCTGGAGTCGGCGAATGGATCTCGGAATGGGCACCTGGAGGTGACCCCATTGTGTCTGGAGGTCACGGGGAAGGTCCAGGCTGGAGACAAAAATGTGGTAGCTGTACAGATTGTGCTTAAGTTCAGATCACAGGAAGCCACCTAGGAGGTGAGAGAGAAGGTGAGGATACAGAAGGACTGAGCACTGCAAAGCTGAGGGGACATGGAGAGAAGAAAGCAGCCGGAGAGACTGACACAGCGTGGCTCGTGGGGCAGGAGGAGAGGCAGGGAGAACAGTGTCCATGCGAAGGAGGTTGGTGAGAAGACAACGGCCAATGTGCCAAATGCTGCCGGTACCCTGACGGGAAAGTGACCAGTGGTTTGGCAACATGAAGACCAGCAAGGGTCCTTGAAAGCATCTGCTCTTGTGACATGATGAGGACAAAAGCTTAACCGATATCAGCACACGACAGAACAGGAGAAGCTGGAGACACTGAGGCAAGCTGGCTGGACCCACAGATGTGTGCCACCAACGTCGTTTACCTGTTACAGCAGACACATTTAAAAGGGTGCCACTCATTGTAAGAGCATATTTTATTTGGCTCAACATAATCGAAGCATTGTCATTTCAACATGTATTAAATATAAAAATTATTGAGAAAGTTTGGCATTGTTTGTTTTTGTACTAACTATACACTTGTGGGATATCTCAATATATTTTAGCTACAAGTGCCAGATGGCCACATGTGGCAAGTGGCTATTACATGGAGAATTTTCCCAAGAGATTTGCTGTAAAAGCAAGCAGAGAGGTGGGTACTGTGGGATAAGCTGCAAGTAAGCATCCCATATCGGAGTGCCAATTCAAGTCCTGGCTCTCCGCTTCTGATCCAGCTGCCCGGGGAAAACAACAGAAGGTAGCCCAAGTACTTGGGACCCTGCTACTCTAAAGGGAAACTTGAATGGAGTTCCTGGCTTTGTCCTGGGCCAGTGTCGGCCATTGCAGCTATTTGGGGAGTAAATCAGCAGATGGAAGATCTCTTTGTCTGTGTCTCTGTCTCTCCATCTCTCTCACTCTGCCCCTAAAATAAATAAAATCTTTTTGAAAAGTGAGTGTGGGTGTAGATCAAGACAGTATTTTTTTGTTTTTAAATGGGAGATATTACAGCATTTAAAAATTTATTCATTTTCCAGATCCCAGAAGAAGAAGGTATCAAGGAACCAGGAAGTTGCTGGCAGCACAGTGGCAGAGAGACGGAGTGCAGGAGAGCTGGAGCGAGCTGGGAGCTAATATCCCCAGGGCATGAGGAGGGGGACCCACAGGTCTGCAGAGTGGAAGGTCTGATGACACAAATATCAAAACTGGGGGATTTCAGGGAGGGCATGGCCTGCAAGCAGAACCAAGGAGGAAGCGAGGCAGCCTTCATCCCTAACCCCAGGCCTAGTGAAGTGAGGCATCTGGGAGAGAAAGTGGCTCCCTCCCAAGGCGGCCTGGGAAGCAAGGCCCTCAGTGGGGAGCCAGAACAGGAAGATTCGGAATGGCCAGAAGCTGAGGATTTAGAGCATGAATTTTGTAAATAAATAAAGTTTTATTGAGATTCACTTCCACCTGCTCTTTCGCATGTTGCTATTTTCCTACCATGGCCAGACCTGGGTACCTCACATTTTGCTTAACAGCAGGGGTCACCTCCTGAGAAGTGCCTCCGTAGGCGATTCTGTTGTGCGAACATCACCCAGTGTGTTTATGCAAACCAGGATACCTACAGTTTTAAGCGACGTGATCTGATGGGACCACCGATGGGTCTGGGCCCCACTGCTGACCCAAACGCTCATTATGCAGTGGGTGACTACTGCTGGCACAGATATTACTGGGCTCACAAAGCTAGCATCTGGCCCTCTGCTGGCTCCTGAATGTGTGATGGCTTGTGGGGGACAGGATCAAGAAGGAAGCCCCAGTAGCAGAACGGGGGCCCCTTAGCAGACAGGAACTGTGGGCCAAGATGTCTCATGATGGGCTTGAGCTCCTCAAGTGATGGGCTTGAGCTCCCGGAACGACCTGCCTCGGGGCACTGGGGCCAGGTGCAGCGGAGGCCGGAGGCCGAGGGGTTCAGTCACAGGATGGTCACACTGTGCTCTTTGGAAGTTGTGGACTTCTTGGGCAGTGAGGCCAGAGCTGAGTGGCTGGGGCTCAGTCTCTTCTCCCTCAGAGACGGCAGAGCAGTGTCTGACTGTGACTTTGAACAATGGGTTCTGCCTGCCCCAGCCAGACACATCCCAAGTCACTGTCAGCTGTATGGCTCCTTCTCCCAGCCTGGCACGGTGAGGGTCTCCCGCATTGGTCGGCAAGGCCTGGAAGCCCAGGCAGAAGTTGCCAGGATGGGGGCAGTGGGCCCTGCCATGCCATGAAGGCCAGATCCTTGAAACACGTGGAAACACAGGGAGGCTGGCTCGCACGTTTGTCCAATAGCACAGCAAATCCAGACCAGACTTTGTTCCCGGCACTTCCCGGGAGCAATCAACATTGAGTATCAGGGCGAGAGATGTCCACAGAATGCTCTTCAGAGAAGGGAGCAGAGACGAGACGGCATCCTCCTCTTTAACCCCGACCCCAGTTTGAGACTTTTTGTGAAGCGTCTGCTGTAATCCTGAAGGGGTAGAAACTCAGACGTGGGGACAGGTGGCATCGGCTTAGCCTGCAGTGGCTGCCACACTTCTCCTCGAGCCAGCACTGACGAGGCCACACTCTGCTTCGTGCTCACTGGTACATGGGGTTGGCTTCTGAGGCACACTTGGTGGGGTGCCGTCTCCAGGAAGCAGGTGCGTGGCAGCCCCGGAGCCAGGCAGTAGAGCCATTCAGAGGACAGTGGGGTTCTGGAGAGCCTGGGTTCTCGGAAAGGCTCCACTCTGGGAGGGAGACAGGGATCGAAGCAAGGGCTCTGCACTGAACGTGGAGCTGATCAAGGACTTCTCCGCTCTCGAGCGGGGGTGGGGAGAGGCCATCCCATTGGCCTCCAGCAGCCCCTCCACATTCGTCAAGCAGTTTGCTTCCTACTTTGGAAGGAAATGCCTCCTGCCACCTGCTGCTCTCGGCCTGGCACTCAGCGCCAGGGGGGTAAGCCCTCTTTGTCCCAGGCCACTCAGACAGGACCTGTAGAAAGCTAGAAGGCACCTTCCCCCAGGAAGCAAGAGAGGAGGGGCCGAGGAGAGCAGATGTGTCCCATGGGACTCAGTGAGGCAAGGGGGCACCCATTTCATATCACATGAGCTGCGGTTCAGACCGACAGACCAAGGGGGAGCCCCAGCACCACTACCCCTGGAGAAGAGAAATGAGGTGATCAATCTGGCCAAGTGTGAGATCAGTGAAGAATAAAACCCAAAAGGTCATGGTCAGCCACAGCTAAGCCAGGAGCCGGCTGGCATCCTAATGGCTTAGGCTTAGAAAGCTGCACAGGGGTGTCTTTCAGAGCGCCCGATCTAGATGTCTCCGCCCCTTCCTCGGTCTCATGGCCCAGACCCCAGGAAGATGTGACAGGCATAGGGGCTGACCCTACAAAGAGCCTGCCCCTATGGTGGTGGGGGGCAGCTGCAGTGACAGGGACGCAGCCAGATCCAAACGAGCTGCAGATGGACAGGCGTGGGCCAGCAAGACGAGGCCTCCCTGTGCCACTGAGCAGGAAAGTACCTGGCCCTCGCTCCCAGGGCGACTGTTGGATGCCTGCCCTGACTTTCTGGTCTCCATCCCCCACATTTTAGTTAAGGCCAGGAATGGGGTACAGTACAGTTAACTCCAACCCACCCCAAAACCAGAAGAAATGGCAGGTTCTTGGCCTGAAGAAAATTGTTTAGATGCATGTGTGGCAGGGACCTAGGAGACGGAGACCTCGAGAAAGAGGCTCCATTTAAAAAGGATGTAGGGGTGTTGGGAACAGCCCACCTAAAAGACCCTTGCTGCAGTCTACTGAGTTAATTCCAGGCATTTGTTCAGCCACTCTTTGCTTATTCTGACTTGAACCTCTCCTCACCCCCAGGCCTTAGTGCCAGGCATGTCATCCAAATGCCCATGATATTCAGGTGGCCAGAGTGTGTCACTGCTTAGCCAAGTGAAGTAAGACAGCACAGAAAAGAACCCCAGCGCAGCTGCAGAGAACTGTCATGAGCCATCCAGACGGCCGGAGCCAAGGAAATCGCCGGGAAATCATCTCGATGCGGCCAGCATTACTTCCTGCAGAAAAGGCCGGGCGCACCAGGCATCAGCATCAGGCGCCGAGGGCTCCACGGGGCTGGCACAGGAAGACCGGCTCCTCCTGGAATCACAGCCTCCTGACAACCTGGTCTTCACACTGAACCCTCGAGAGCCTGGGAACACAGGGGGTGCTGCTGCCTGAGCACCCACCATGCCCCGAGTCCCAAGGGCTGGGCTCCAAGGAGCCAGCTTCTTCTGGAAAGCCCCCCCCCCCCCTTACAAGCAGATGAGCTGCTGGAGTTTAGCAGCTGCATTTCAGTGAACCGTGTCCCACGCTGCACGCACAGGCCTGTTAGGTACAAAGGCTTCATGGAGAATCAGTTTGAAGCTCCTAGCTTCCTGGGAAGGAAAGTCTCACTTCTAAATTGTACTGAAGATCCCTTTTGCTGTTTGTTAAAAGCCTCTTACTCAAGTGGGGCAGGATGTCAGGGGGAAGGTATGTTTGGCTCAAGTTGGCTGCCACTGCCTTGGCCTTCCATGGTTCCTTGTTCTCTTCTCATCCACATGTCCTGAGCAGCCTGGTTTCCGGGGGTCCCAGAACAAGGCCCACCATAGGGGTGATAGAGGGGACGGGGAATCATGCATGAGTATCCTGTGGACCACAGGCACAGCCTGGCAGCTCGGTGAGGGCCCCCACCTTAGAGGCAAGAACTGAACCTCTCAATGTCACAGCAGGGAAACTGGGCAGAGGGGCTGTCGGCCCAGATGTGGCCGGAAATGGAACAAAGTCCTTAAGCAGGGGCCCAGGATTCCATTAAGAGCAATTAGATGCAGCTGAGTGCACATGCTCACTCCCCCCCCCCCACTCCTGCCACCTCCATGCACAGGGGAGCAGGAGGCAAGGGGCCTCTTAGGTAATCTCTCTCTCCCTTTGGAGAAAGTCTGAATTCAAAGTGATTTTTAACTGATCCTTTCATCTTGCCTGAAGGCCAGTAGAACAGTTATGACCAAATCAAAAAGAGCTATAAATACAGAAGGAAAAAGATGATGGAAAACAGAAAGACAGTTATACTCACCCTACAACCACAATTATAAAGTCTAGTAAATTCCAGCCATTGCGGAGGTAAGCGTTGGGGTGAAACAGAAGTCCATAGGCTATTACTTTTAAAAATGCTTCCACAGTAAAAATTATGAGAAAGAGATATTCCACTCGTTCCTAGGAAACAAAAAGAGAAAAGGAAATCATTAGGCTGGGGATTTGGAAAGTTCTGGTTGAACAGATCTCACAAATGCAGCCACACGTTGCATAACAAAATTTCAGTCGAGGACGGACAACATATACATTGATGGGCCCGCAAGACCAGCTTGCTTACTGATGTCATGGCCATCTTAGCTTGTGTATGTGCACCCTGTGACAGTTGAACAATGACAAAATCACCTGAGATGCATTTCTCAACACATAACAGCATGTGGCTATAAGTGGAAGAGGTCGTACCTAGGCGGACTCTGGGTGAGACCCCCAAGACACATTTAAACTCCACAACCTGTTCTGCCAGGAGGGCTCCAATCTACTGGGAATGAAAGGTTATTTTTGCATTCAAAGATTACCTGTTAAGATGTAAATATTAGGGTGGTGGGGAAATCGAACATTTTTTCCAAAATATCTTATTTGATCAGTGAGCACCTCACTGCACCTTGTCAGAGGGAACGGTCACACTGTCTTGCTTTAAAGGGAAGTAGTATATGAATGACAGGGACGTGGAGAAGGCGTGAAGCGGAACCTCAGGCCACTGCGCTGCAATTCTGCATCAACAGCGGCTGAAGGTAAGAGCCTTGGTGCTCGGGAAGGCACTGGCCGAGCCCTCCGAAACGGCAGAGCAAGAAATTGAGATGTTGATTTCTCTACAGCAGCCCAAACAGAGCTAACCTGCTCACAGACACCAGAAATTGGCAGCCCCTATCTTTGGGAGAATAAAACTCTTTGTTCAAAGCCAGAGACTAGGTCCACAGAGAAAATCAGCATTTGGAGAATGGAGGCCGGCTCTGGGTTGGGGTAGGGATGGAAAAGGCTCTGTCTTTTCTAAAGGGGTGGGAGGCAGTCTCTTCCCTTCCTGCTGCCTTGAAGAAGCGCTTTGTATTAAGGATGCGGCTCCCGTCCCTGGGAGACAGCAGTCAACAGGACAAACTCGCTGGCTCAATTAGAGCGAGCCCATTCTGGGCACAGACTCACGCGCTTCCCTCGCCACTAATTGCTTTCTTGCACACACACCCCCCACCCAGCACAGAGCCTAATGGCCCCACCAGACAGAGGCTGCCTGGATGCCTTCATGCTCCACTGCTCATCTCAGCAGGAGCCTCAGCCTGGCTCTCCCTAGGGAGCCACAAAACACTTGTAGCATTGTGTCCCAGGCCTCCCAAAGCCTGGCAGGCCCATCCCCAGCCCTCGGCTCAGAACCCCAAACCTTTATCCCCTCCTCTGCCCAGGCAGAAGGAGCTCCCTGAAGACTTCCTGGTCCACCACATTCTGGAAAAGGAGCACTGCGGGGCGTTGGGGGCCTGCTGGGCAGCTCTGCGGGGAGAGCTCAGCCAGCCAGGGGCCGCCCTTCACTCTTCTCCAATCCCTGGACATTCGGCAACTGCTGGCCTCATGGTGCCCAGTTTAGGGTGAGCAGTTTGATGATGCAAAGTCAAAAACTGCAGAATGATGGCGCTTACCAAGATCTACTGAAGTAGAGCTCCCAGCTACGGTGCCCGGAAATGTGCATTACAGGCAATTTCTGAGAAAAACCTGAAGTTAAAGAACCTCTGGCCCGGGAGCTGATGAAGGCGCAGATCAGGTTGCACCAATGAGAAGGGGGTGGTGGGGCCAGATGCAATTGGGGTCTCAGAAGCAGAATTGTCACCACCCATCCTAGTACCATAAAGTGGGGCTAGGGACACTAGCTGCTTTGAGGTCATGACCCAAGGACAAATCACAGTGTGTGGGAGCCTATGATCTTTTAAAATCAAGTGGCATTGGGTGAGAAGGTACATCAGGATACTGTTGAAAGGGAAAATATGTTACAAAAGGGAACAAGGCAAGCTGAGGACGTTTGTGGATGGTAGGAGGAGGGAAGGGGCCAGACTGGAAAAGCTGCTCAGCCTCAGTCTCCTCACCACCCCCGCGCCCCCACCTCGATGGCTCACAGCTTTCTCATTTAGCACCAGACGACAGGGGCACTCCCTTTGCTACCCCCAGAAACACTGTGGAGGACACTTGTCAAGTTGGAGTTGGGATGAGAAGGGAAGAAAAGGAAAATGAAACGAACACAAGTTGGGCACTGACCAGGCGTCAGGTGCTTTCACGTATTCATGTATGTGCTGATGGCTCTCACACTTCCTTCACTCACCCACCTGCTCACACAAGTATCCATCCACTTCCCACCCATCCATCCATCCTCCATTCATCCATCCATCCATTCTTCTGTCCATCCATCCACCCACCCACTCATTCATTCATGAGGCTATGGTACAACCAGCCAAATCATCAGCAAGTCACCCAGGAGCCCTGTCTGAGTTGTCTAGACAATGAGCCCTCTGGAAGGGGCAGCATCCAAGCACAGAATCCCTCCTCTCTCTAGCAGGAAGAACAGCAATATTCCAAAGGCTCAAAGGGTCTTGTGTCCTGGGAAGCTGGCATTCTCAGACATCTCCTTCAAACAGCTGGCACTCCCAGTCCAGGCGGTCTGTTTATTCCCTCATTGACAAGGCTGCTTTTCCTTTCTTACTTGGCTGTTGAGAGTGCCACAGAGGAGGGGGCCTTGCACTCACATCTTTGATGAGACAGGAGGATGGGGGATCTGCGGCTTCTCTTGTTGACTTCTGGCCTTTGTGAGTTCTCCCAATAAAGACTATTCCTTAACCCTATCATGTAACATTTGTCCCACACCATGGAAAGTAACACATAGCTGACCAGAAGCACCATCCTTACAAATCATTCACTCCGACATTCACAGACAAGTCATAAACACATTTATGTTATGGGCTGGGTACTGGAGATTTGAGAGAAGTGGCTCAGAAACTGACTTCAAGGATCTCCTGATATGAAAGGGGGCAAAGGGACAGCTGATTCCAGCATAGCAGGTGTATGGCGTTCTGGAGGCAAACACAGTTGGCTATAGATGGGCTTCCCCCAGTAAGGATCTCTGCGTTAAATCTTGAGGGGCTAGGGTTGTGCAGGTGAAGAAGGTAAGGGGATGGACCCCATTTGCCCACAAAGATATATCTAGGTTCAGTCTCAGTCTCCTTATGCTAAGTTATTTAAGGACCTGACATGAAGCTGAAAGGCTCCAGGAGCCAGGAAAAAGGGCCCAGACCAGAATCTCGGAGGGGGGTAGCTGCTTTTCATTGACAACCCACCGTACAGCACAGGCGTGTGCTGACCAAGTGCTGCAAATAGCAGTGTAGTTCACTCTGACATTAAGGCGTGCAGGCCCTTGCAGAATTACCTAGAAAACGTAAACAAATGAAATGACTTGCTCAGTCCCTTCAAAAGGTTTATCTTGTTGCCATGGAAACGTCTAAGGGTGAGTCAGAAAGGAGCAGGGAGGGAAAAAGTTTGAAAACGAGGCCGGCGCCGCGGCTCACTAGGCTAATCCTCCGCCTAGCGGCGCCGGCACACCGGGTTCTAGTCCCGGTCGGGGCGCCGGATTCTGTCCCGGTTGCCCCTCTTCCAGGCCAGCCCTCTGCTGTGGCCAGGGAGTGCAGTGGAGGATGGCCCAGGTGCTTGGGCCCTGCACCCCATGGGAAACCAGGAAAAGCACCTGGCTCCTGGCTCCTGCCATCGGATCAGCGCGGTGCGCTGGCTGCAGCGCGCCGGCCGCGGTGGCCATTGGAGGGTGAACCAACGGCAAAAGGAAGACCTTTCTCTCTGTCTCTCTCTCTCACTGTCCACTCTGCCTGTCAAAAAAAAAAAAAAAAAAAAAAAAAAAGAAAACGATATGCTCATCCATGCCCCAGGGGCCTCGGGTCCACCTCGCACCTGAGCCCTGAGTGCAGAGACCCATGTGCTCTCCTCTCCTGGCTCCTGGGTGGCTACATGCACCAAATACTCAGATGTCAATCAGCCTTTCTGTGATCCTGGGAACTGGGAAACTTTGAAGCCAGCCTGGGATGGACAGATTCTCATGCCTACTAGTCTAGATTAAGGTTGCAAAGGACAGAGGAGGTTGAAAAGCTGCAAGACACAGGAGAAAGCACAGAACCATAGCTTGGAAACTGCCAAGCTAGCAAAGCTGCAAATGGGCTGGGAGGAACACGCCAGGGCTCCCAGAGAACCCTGATCCTCCAGTAGGGGTAGAGGATCCGACCTGCCTGCCTCAGGGCAGCTGAGACAACTGTGCCTCCCCATGGCACCTCTCCTTCCTCCCCATCGCTTTCTCTTCTGACCTACTATGATTTTTCCCCTTACTGCTGCCTTTCCGTTTCCATTTTCTTCTTCCTTTCCTCTTTTCCTGCTCATTTCTTTAGGCCTACTGCTGGCAATGGGGGCCCCGGTCACACTTCTGTCTGAAATATTGAGAAGAGTTCAGTGGAGAGAGCCCTGCTTCCAGGAGTCATGATGCCTTCTGAGCACTCAAGCAGCTGGGCACTAAACAGCCCAGGCTACCTGACTGTCTACTTATCACCTCTCCTACTTTTCCACTCTATTATAAGCTCCTAGAGGACAGAGAATCAATAATCCCTTGATGGTAGTAATCTTGATTCTGGTACCAGCTGGCTGTGTGTCCTCATCTGTAAACAGACTTAGGGGAGCGGGGTGCTGCAGAGAGTCCCAGGCTTCCACACACTGCGGGTAGCAGGTGAATGAAGCAGGAGGCTGCCTCCGTGGGGCTCTAATCCAACAGTGCCATTTTAAGCCACAGGCCGGTTGTCCAAGGGTTCTAAGACAGGAAATGCAGTCCAGGAGTCCATATGATGGGGGTGTGGACAGAGAATACACAAGAAAAGAAGTAGAAGGGTACTTTAGTAAGTTCATGGAAAATGGAATTAAAAGATAAGTTTATTTTTGGTGCAAAAATTATTTTAAATCCATGCCTACAAGGGGGTCTTCATGGAAACTACCTAGTTTGAAAAACATTATATAAGGACATCAAAAAATTTTTGCACCAAAATCAATGTCTTTTGTTTCCATTTTCCCGTGAACTGTTTGAAGTTCTCTCATAGCCACCTCCTACT